TCATGCTTGTGCCTTGTGTGTGGACGGGCCGTTACTGACACCAACAGAAATAAAAACATGTGTTGAAATTTCAGAGAAAAGGAGTGAATATACATGAAACATGTTACAAGTCATATCGTTCCATCATAAGCCAGTCAACACACAGGGAGATATATCACAAAGTATAATTACAGTTAAAATAATCTCTTCTTATATTTTGATATGTTTCATGTCACTCATTTTGAGTCCAATTTAAAAACATTTGAACAAACGCCTCAAATTACATTTGAATTTGCTGACTCACATTCTAGTCAAAAGATGTCCCATCCTACATTTAAAGGGAATCACTTTGGTTTCAGCGTGGCGTGGAAGAAAATATAATTCTATGTTGCCAGATTACCGTCAGTACAAGCAGAGGAAAGTGGCATTTAGATGTTACAAACGCAACGTATGAGGTCAACAAAGGAAGCAAGTAGGCCTACTGGCAAAACACTTATGCATTCCCCTGCAGATTGATTGTTTTCATCGCTGCGACTTGAACACTCTGACCAGCTTGGCGGAACGCAAATGTGTGTGTGTGTGTGTGTGTGTGTGTGTGTGTGTGTGTCCAACAGCTTGGCCTGATGTGTGGGGTAGCCTGTTGAATCTTGATTTTGAGTGTGTTGTTTCCTATTTAGATGAATATATTAATGTAACTGAATGTTGCATTTACTGAATATTACATTTAATATTGGGCAGCACTCTGTGAAGCCTGTGTCTGAAACGCATTGTAAACATACTTATAGTACTTTATAATCATCATATTCATAGTTATTTCAAATGATTTACAACAATTATCCTATAAATTATTCACATATAAATAAACACTGTCTTCTTGTATGCAGTATAATCCCTGTTCAAATGGATTGTAACATAATAACATAATAACTGGCTGGTCTACCTGCATGTGCCATCCGACCTCTGCAGCTCATCCAGAATGCAGCGGCTCGTCTGGTTTTCAACCTTCCTAAATTCTCCCACACCACTCCGCTCCTCCGCTCCCTTCACTGGCTTCCGGTAATTGCTAGAATCCACTTCAAGACACTGGTACTTGCTTACCATGCTGCGAATGGATCTGGCCCTTCCTACATCCAGGACATGGTTAAACCGTACACCCCAGCGCGTGCACTACGCTCTGCATCAGCCAAACGACTCGTTGCGCCCTCGCTGCGAGGGGGACCCAAGTTCCCATCGGCGAAAACACGTGGGTTTGCTGTCCTGGCTCCAAGATGGTGGAATGAGCTCCCCATTGACATCAGGACGGCAGATAGCTTGCACATCTTCCGGCGCAAACTGAAAACTCATCTCTTTCGACTCCACTTCGAGCGTTAGAACTATTAACGAAGCACTTTTATACTAATAAAGGACTGGCTTTTCTAAAGCCAGTTGAGTAGCACTTGAAATGTTTAGCTCTATGAAACCTGATGTACTTATATGATTCTGTTTTCTTCAAGGTTGTGTCTTCCTGGTCGAATGTACTTATTGTAAGTCGCTTTGGATAAAAGCGTCAGCTAAATGCAATGTAATGTAATGTAATAACAAATATATAGGAATTATAATGAACAATGATACTTATATCATAAAAGTATAATGCATGTTCGAGAAAGGCATCGTAGAGAAAGGGTTACCAAATATTGTGCTTTGCTGGTTTAGCATTTGTTTTGTTAAAGGTTTTTTTCCCTCCAGATCCCTATTATGAGGCTTTTTCTGAAACATGAACGCAAACATGTTTCAATTATCTCAAAGCAACATTTTAACCAGTTAATGTCAGGGTGTATAGAGCGAGATGAGCCAGTGTAAATTGAAGGCAGCATCCACACACTGTTTACTTCACCATCTGCTTCATGCAAGAAGGACCATAATAACAACCAAGTGACTTGTGGGTGTATCCGGCTGAATGACACGGTGATGGAAGCTTCTATTACATCTGAGGGATGTAACTCAGTAAAATGGACTTCTAATTGACAGCGTGTATTGGCTCTGTATATTAGTGGGGAGACAAGTGTCTTGAGGGGGCTTTTCATGTGCCTGAGGATGCCTGACATGTTGGAATTATTTCCCCATTGGTGTTAAAACACAAACCTTAATTGGATTAGTTCAGCACAAATTGGCAGATATGAAAAGAGTCAGCCAAGCTACTGCTCACCGTATAGGGAACAATCAAATAGGAGCCTGTCAGCCAAACTACTTGCAAATAAAATTCCAGATTGGCACCGAGCTTGCCAAGCTTTCACCTGGTAGAAACCCTGACAGGATCCAAACAATTACAATGCATTCTGGGCGAGCAGCATTTGTACCCCCGCGGACCAGTGCATGAATCAGGGATATCAGTTAGAAGGCTTTCAATTAGAGAAATGTAATCCAAGCAGCTGTTGCATCGAACAGTTCCAGCAAGCATCAGAACGAAACATTTAATTAGACAGAAATGTGAAGAGCTTTCGCCGGAAAGAAATTATGTTTCAACTCATAAATGAAAAGCTTCACAACAGAATTCATACAGTAGCTGTCCTGCCTTCAACTAAGTGGCTTCTCTTAGAAACGAGATGACTGATGAGCTTATTATTCATACCTTAGTGGTGCAGGAATAATTCCTAAACCTGGAAATGAGTTAGCATTTGAGCACTTTCAGGCTCCATTGTCTCAAACAAATCAATGTTTTTTTGTATGAGCTTACGAAATGTTACGTCTTGTACAAGGACCTCCGTAAATACCATACTGTCGAATGTCTGTAACTTTCCCGTGTCTTAAAAACCGGGATTGCTAATAAGTGACTAAGAAAAGACTACTAGGAAGTTCATGAGATCTTTCTAGAGGGTTATCAAGAATAACTTTTATCCAATGACCCTCTCTGTCTGTGTCTGTGTATTCTCTTGTTCCGATTAACCCAGCCAAATCTTTTTTCTTGTTTTGTATCTATATCTACGCCGGGATCCGGAGTCGAGGCTGATCTTCTTGCTGTAGTCCTGTGTCCTGGATCCTCTATCCTGAGTTCTGGATTAAGTCGTGGACTTCGGGTCGTGGCTGAACCTGTCTCTGCGGTCCTGCCTTGGGTCTCGTCATGCTGCTTCCCTGATGGCTTCCACAGGATTGTAGCTGACATCCTCGTGGATTCATCTTCTTATTACAGACACATGCATTTCCTAACATTCGGTCTATATGTTGTAAAACGTATTATCTCTTCGATTTACACACGGCATCTATTGCACGTCTGTCCGTCCTGGGAGAGGGATCCCTCCTCTGTTGCTCTCCCTGAGGTTTCTCCCATGTTCCCTTTAAACTGTGGGTTTTCTCTGGAAGTGTTTCCTTGTACGATGTGAGGGTCTAAGGGCAGAGGGTCTAAGGATAGAGGGTGTCGTTTTTATCATACTGATATTCTGAATAATCTGTGCTGTTGTATTTGCTGTAAAGTGTCTCTACTGTAGGCTATTTTTATTTTATGTACAGCACTTTGGCTCGACCAAAAATCGTTTATAAATGTGCTATATAAATAAAACTTGATTTGATTTGATTTGATACTACACCGTACACCAGTCTGTCTAGCTTAGCTTAGCTTTAGCTTAGCGGTGTTGACCGAAGTCATTCGACCGTCATGTTTGCTTACAGTCTTATGTTAGCTATCTACTTCTTGTGATTGCATTAATGCTTCAACTACTATACAAGTAGTGTTAGTTTGTGCAGAATTGGTGTTTTCAAAAAATCTTATTTCTCCACTATTCCAAAATCATATCGTAACACCCCTTTCTACATCTTGTCAAAGGACCTGCAATGCTTTCTCCTGACTCAACATACACACAAAAACCATCTCTATTACCTACATGAATATATTAATGTAACTGCAGCGAAATGTTGCATTTATTGAATATTAGATTGAAGCACTCTGTGATGTCTCAAACGCATTGTAAACATACTTATAGTACTTCATAATCATCATGTTTTCATAATTATTTCAATTGCTTTACAACAATTGTCCTAAAAAGCCTCATGATTTTTTATATTTGCATATTTAATATTTACAAAAATAACATCTCTATTAACTCCAAGAAGACATTTTCGGTTTGGTTGGATTTGGTTTCTTTGTTGGTGTGATTGAAACAAAAAACACAAATGGCCTCATTCTCATGGAACCCGTGAAAGGATGTATGATGAGCAAAGGAAGTGCCCATTCATAATTGGAGCAGATCAGAATCAATGGGCGGATACAATAATTATTTTTTCACTTATGGAAAGGGCCTTGGCAGAGGTCTTTGCTCTCATCTAAAAGCCCTTCTAGTTACACCTTCAATAATTCATCCAGGGCATTGCCTGCCTTTAGAATGAGAACACACAGTGAGAAAGAAGAACAAAGGGCTGCCTAGTAGATTTGCAATGACCTTGAAATGAGGCGTAAAGATAAGGCTCTAACCAAAACACAATGAAATGTAGTCTCCAAGATGCAAAGATGTCAAACTCCCCAAGGACCCACCGACACTGCTCACACCTAGGAAATGCAAGCATCACTTGGAAATATCTCACATACAGTAGTGGGAGATGTACATGTGTTGATTACGACAACAAAGGTGCCATTATACCATCTGGATCTTAAACAGCTCAAGCCCAATCAGATCTAAAAACATGACTTTATCTTCTCATTCACTTGTTGCTAATTATCTGGCCAATTGGGTGTAAAGATTTAAGCTACCAAATATTGTGTTTTGCTGGTTTAGCATTTGTTTCGTTAAAGGTTTTTTTTCCCTCCAGATTCCTATTATGAGGCTTTTTCTGAAACATGACAGCAAACATGTTTCAATTATTTCAAAGCAACATTTTAAGCAGTTACTGTCAGGGTGTATAGGGCGAGATGAGCCAGTGTAAATTGACGGCAGCATCCATTACTTCGCCTGTCGGCTTTGTTGTCATGTGCACAACAGTGTAGATATGGCAATGAAACGCATAGGTCACTCCAACAGTGAGTACAGGTTAAAAAGGAGAAAGTATCGGGTTACCTCCTGAATGTGATGGGGGGCCGCACAGCAGAACCACTCCTTGGCCTTCGCGCACTGATACAGAGTTTCTTCTGTGGGTCTTGAAGCTTTCCAAGTCTGAAGAATAAAAGAAGGGGAAGTTAGTAAAAATCACCCCAAGTCAGAGGTTGATTCATCTGAACACATGAAAGCACTGTCATGAACAGATTATTATTTTTCTTTACCCTGTTTTTCTTGCCTCTTCTTACTCAGATTCAAGGTCAAAGCCTATAGAGCCCAAAGCAGTGTGCAGCAGGCGGAAGAACACTCACTACAGGATGCCGGTTTATAATAGAGCTCACTCAGATGAACTCACCACACTCTCACAAAGTACCGGAGAGTTCTTGGCCTATTTCTCCTTTAGACTGTGAGAAAACAAGGCATAACCCTGACAAATACAGTTGTTGTAGACTCCAAGGGGCAAAGGTTTAACCCCAGTGTGTGTGTGAGGCAGCAGTCCAAACCACTGAACCACTGCACCAGCTCTACAGACAAAGTCTACACACATACAGAAACACCATTACCCTCTCCGTGCTAGTGTAAGGAACGTTTTCCAAAGTGAACATGTTCTTGTCTGGTAAATAGCCTTTGGCTTTGCCTCAGGCCAAACCAGCCCTTCCTGCTTCTGTCGATATCGTGGATATCCAAGAGTCATTGTGATATTGCTTCAAAAATCAGAAAGATGTGAATTAAAGGGTCCCAATAGGAGCTTTTACTGGAATAAGAGAATAAATAACTTGTTTCATTGTATGAAGAGAAGCACCGCCAGGTAGGATGAATGAATGCTTGACAATAGAACAAAGGACGTTGAAGGGATTTGAAAATAAATAAAAACAAAAACAACAGAATCCCAAAACAAGCGGGTCTTGATATCATCAAATGTTGCAATTACATGCATTTCCTTAAGTTTAAAAACATATTATTATGGGATTCAAAGAGAACCATAATCTAACACTTCATAAACTACATTATATAAAGGTTGGTATGGAAAAGCGTTAGTGTTATTATGAATTCAGATGAAGAAATATAAGAGTACTTTCCTCTTCCATCTCTAATGCCTAAAACACGTTATGAGCATCACATGATACGATAAGATAACACTTTGTCAGATTTAGTTTTAATTTGTTCTTGCATCACAGCAGCTCCATTTGCAACATGAACAAGGACAATATATATATATATTTAAGTCAAGAATGACACAATCAACACCAGAATCAACACCAGAATCAACACCAGAATCAACACCAGAATCAACACCAGAATCAACACCAGAGTCCACAGGGAGAGTTTCTATTCTACACAACAACCCCTTAAAATGTATGTTGAAATGATTGATAATGTCAAATTACATTTCCCATCCTTTGGTGCACGTATTGATACAATTATTATTGCACTCACAATGAAGCCTCCTGATTGAACCAACGTGTTGAAATAAGAGAAGGTGTGATAAAAACACAGTTCATGTTTTGCTTCCCAAGGATTCAGGAGCACCTGCTTTGTTTCCGTCAAATATCCAATCCCCAATTAGTGCTTCCTCCCTTGTTAAAAAATGTTGTTAGAGCCATTTTCATTTCATTATTATGATCTGAATGTTAGGCTTAATAATAATATAAAGATTCAACTCTTAATCGTTTATGTTTTGTGAGTCACACTATGGTTTAAAATATATTAATGGAAGGCTCACTTCCGCTGCAACTCTGACTACTTTTAAATCCAGACTAAAGACTTTTCTTTTTGTCGCTGCTTTTAATTGAACTATTCACATCTTAAACTGCACTGTAACTTTTATCCATGTATTTTTTCTTTTAATGTTTATTTGATTATCTTTTCTTTTTAATGACTGATTTTAAATGCCATTTTCTTAATGTCTTTCGTTTTTTGTAAAGCACTTTGAAGTGCCTTGTGTTGAAAAGTGCTATATAAATAAACTTGCCTTGCCTTATTTGTTATCAAATGTGCGTCAGGTATCACATGCATGGCTAAATGCCTATATATGGCAGGACAATGGGACACAGCTCTTTTGACCGTGGTCTTTTTTGATACTGATAACTTTTATTTACTATGAAGCGAGGAAATGTGTCCTCCTGTTTCTATGCCGTCTGGACCAATGAATAATGTATTTGGAAACAAAGAGGTGCGTCAAAACCCACAACCCCGACAGAGAAGTGGCTATTAAATGTAGACACGGATTAAAACGCCACCACATATGTGTACGCTAAGGCTGCTCGATTAAAAATCATAATCTCGATTATTTGGGTCAATAATTGATATCACGATTATTAAAAACGATTTACTTTTAAAACATCAATTTATTGGAAAACATTTTTTGAACAGTGTGTTTTTAACAGTTGATTACCCTGAACTTTAAATTCAACTGAAAAACCAATAATACAAAAAAAATAATAAAGAAAATAATCGTTTTATTTTGATTACGTTGTTTTCATAATCGTTGCAAGCCAAAATCGTAATTGCGATTAAAATACGATGAATTGAGCAGCCCTAGTGTACGCTTTAATTTATCTTCTTGATTTTAAAAGTCAATTTCAGTGGAGCCTGGTGAACTGCAAGGACATACAGTCATACCTGCCATGATTGCATTCTGCTTGAGACACAGTTGAGTGAGTGAGAAAATGAAAATAATAAACTCACTATTACTGTACCCTGAGCTAGTAATTGTATATTCCACATAATGAATGGAAGCCTTGCATTAGATAAAGGCATCATAAGAAAACATAAAACGGTGCGTATCAATAGTGACACACAGCAATCTGCAGCCGCTAAGCAGAGTGTGCTGTGGCGGGTCACACATGAAGGATTTTAATAGCTCTGGTTACCTTTCATTCATCGTGCCCATCACCACAGAACACAACAAAGCTATCCCTGCTATGGTTCTGACACCAGAGGGAATGTTACATTGAACACAATGTCATTTGACAATTAATGGAAATAATAGCAGGTCATTACCGCTTCCAATAACTAGCTGCACTAATGGTGTATATCCTGGTAGAGCTCAGTAAATGTAATTCACAAATCACATGGAAGCCTCATTGATAACTCTCGTTGGATGGGGGAAGATAAATGTTGTTATGGCAACTACTTTAAGCCCATGTAATTACATTTTGTACCGTAATGTCAATCAAACTGTACACATGACTCAATTATAGCAATTTGTAGTAACATGGCAACGTTATTAAATTAGCATAGCATCAAAAAGCAATCAGTACTTCCTATTTATCTTGTTCCATTTCCACTAAAACAACAACTAAAGTATGATTGTATGATAATTCCACAGCAGTTTCCATAATGCCCATGCCTATGAACATACCTGTAATGTGTTATAATCGGCCTATAGTTCTGTATAATAAGTAATTACTCATAAACGTCCTTGAAACCTAATCAGGAAAAATCATAGCACATTAAAAGTCAATTTACAATGAATAATAAGTGTTATAAAACCTTTCACACTCTCTTTTAGTTTTTAACAAGATCACAGTGTTATATCGTTCCCGTAGGTGTTATATGTATTTATTTATTGTTTAGCTTAAGGCAAATTAAATACATTGCAAGTTGTGTTAACAACATCAAACACATGATTGTGAAATTATTGTATTGGGTTAATAATCATAAACAATTATTTTAATCACATTTCTGTTAATTTTTTGATGGTAAACAACTAAATGATGGACATATACATATTACATTTGTGTCTTTGCTTTTAAATGAGTGTTTTTAAATGCCATTTTATAATATGTTTCTCCTGCACTGCTATTTCTTAATGCTCTTAATGTCTTTTTTTGTGTGCCTATTTTGTTACGGTCTCAGGCACTTAGGGGGTAGGACCCAATTGCACGACCCGGGAGACAGAGGTAAAGTATTGTAAGATACTTTATTTTCCCATGAATAGCAAAAATGAACAAAACGGTAACCACCAAAACTCTAGTCGAGATGACAAAAAACCTTTCAAGAGTACCAGGAGCATAGACCACCATGACAATAGACCAGATCAAAACACAAAACTAGAGTAAAACAAAACTAAACATAACATATCTGTCGAGTCGCAACATATTTTTGGAAAGCACTTTGAATTGCCTTGTGTTGAAAGGTGCTACTGTATATAAATACACTTGCCTTGCCTTACCTGTTGACATATGTAATGTTGAACAAAAACTCAACCTAAACGGTTAATACTACACACAATACGTTGATACATCCTGTGTAACCAAAGATATCTGAGAAAACGTCAGAATATTGACTTTTGTCTCAGAAATCTCGTTTGATCCCAAAATAAATCACAATATGGCTTTAATCCTCTTCCATACATTGCACATGAAATATGTTTATAATGATTTTTAGACTTCATAGAAAGTAAAACTCATAATTTAAACATTTCCGTTTTTTCTTTGTGTCTACTTTAAGGTCAAATTCCTTTTTAAATATGCTTTAAACAAACAGACGGTCTACAAGAAAGTAATATAAGACGACGAAGGGCCTCAAATGCATCCACACATATTGTCCTAATAGGAATAATTAACCTTAATTAACCTTGCTCTATAACACGCAGCATACTCTGGAGCAGCGGTGCAGACACAAGGGCTCTCTTCTGCCAACCTGCTCTGTGCAAAACTGCAACCAATCCACTTTAAAATGAGATTACTGATTAGTTCAGCTCCAAGTGATCTAAATGTAAAATTATTGGGCTCAGTGATTTATGAAGAGGACTATAAGGTCAGCTAATATATGTCATAGTGGCTGCCGGACAAGTCAATTAAGGAACAGCCTTTGATTATTTCTTTAAACATAAATCTCCTCTTAGCCCATGAGCAGAGTTTAACTAACAGCTATTTGAGACTCTTAAGCCCTATTAAGAAACCAACTCCTAATACTTTTCTAAAGATTACTGCCAGATGTGGCACTTTAGGGTCATGTTGATGTGTCAGGGATGTAGAAACCTGATGCAAAGCTCTCTTTCAAAGTGTTAATAGACACGTCTTTTTTGCTTGTACTTATCACTATGAAGTGAGTACACATTGTAATGGCTGTGGGATAACGACACCATTGGCGTTTTGATTGTTTCGGTC